CAAAACCCCAATTGCACAGGAAATACTACAATTACCAATCAATAACTTGGATCTCATCTTATTTAAAAGCTTTTGCACAACAAAAGAAATCACCAACAGAGCGAAAAGGCAACCCAAAAAGTGGGGAAAATCTTAGCCAGATTTTCCAGACAAAGGACTAATCTCTAGAAAATATAAAGGATTGAAAACAAAAATCAGAATCCCCCAGTTTAAAGACTCAGTCCAGGGTTATGCCTGTAACCCCAGTACTCGGGAGGCTGAGGCAGGAGGATTATTGTGAGTTCAAGACCAACCTGGGCTACAAAGTGAGCTAAAGGCCAGCCTGAATTGCGTAGTGAGACCCTGTCTTAAAAAGACAAAAAAAAAAAAAAAAGAAAAGAAAAGAAAAAAAATAGACCCAATCCAAAAACGGATATCTGAAATGAATAGACACTTCTCAGAAGATGAAGAAAAAAAATAAATACTTGAAAACATGTTCAGCATTACTGATATTTAGAGTGATGCAAATTAAAACAATGCTAAGATTTATCACAATCCAAAAAGAATGGTGAGTATTGACAAATCAACCAACAACAAATGCTGATGGGTCTCTGAGGAAAAAGGAATCATTCTCCACTGTTGGTGGGAGTATAAACTGGTGCAACCCTGGTAGAAGTCAGTGTGAATATTACCAAAAAAGCTGAAAACTAGAGGCTGCATTTAACCCAGGTATTCCCCTTGTTGGTATCTTCCCTAGATAATTAAAAGCACCATAGAAGAGCAATATAAGTGCACCCATGTTTGTAGTAGCACAGTCTGTAATAGCTAAATCTTGGAAACAACCCAAATGCCCATCAATGAACAAAGGGATAAAATAAATGTGTTTTTAATAAAATGGAGTATTAGCCATAAAGAAGACTAAGCTTGAGACGTTTATAGATAAATGCATAGATCTGGTGCTGATACTGTGAAGTGAAGTAAATCAGACACATATATGTAAGTATAGCATTGTCTTTCTGGTGTGAGAAATTGAAAGTATAAATAAGAATCAAATGTATAATAGATATTATGAAATAGGAAGAAATTGTTCAAAAGGAAAGGGGAACTGGATGGAGAGGAAGACAGAAGGGAAAAGAATAAAAGTGAGAAAACACAAGATAAAATGGAAACAAGTTTTGTAAATAAAGAGGGGAAGAGCAGTTGAAGAACAGTATGGGGAATGGGGAAAAAAGGGGATCTAAGATATATTATGCACAGGTACAAATTCCCTATGTTGAACGTGATTATTATGTATATCTAAATTGTACCAGTAAATGTAGTTTAAAAAAGAAATTTTCAATTAATCATAAAGAATTCATATCTCACAATTACCACTGAAAATGTAGGGATCAGTGACAAAAAACAAAAGAATCAATGTATTAGAATACATAAAAGCACAATTCACATTGTCCCCAACATGAAGAAAATCCATACTTGATATTACGAGTTATTTTCAAATGGATAATAAGGGACATATGATGAATGCGAAATTATACTATTGTAATCAAGAATTTGAATTTGGTTGATGGATAGACAAACACTTGAAAAAGAAAAATAAAAGACTGAACCATGTGCCCACTTCAGCAGCACATATATTAAAAATTGAACCATAACTCTGTAATCATTAGATATGTGATTGAAATGTCATTGCATATTTGTACAGAGGATGAATCCATTGATAAATGGTGCTGATACAGCTAATTTTCCATTTGGAGAGAAATCAAATTGGATCACTATGTCATACACAGTAAATACAGTGGATGAAAAGCCTTAATATGAAAGACACTACTTTTACATCTCTGTAAGATAAATGAATATATTTATGATATCTTTTCATGTGTGTACAGGGATTTTTATTGAGCTGTAAATTTATATTCTCATTAACATTATATATACTTCTTTATCTACACCTTGTTACTGTATAGACAAACTATTTCACCCCAACCGTTAGGATCAGTGTACAATTCTTCATAGTGCTAGCATGAGGATTACACTGCTCTTTTAAAATGTTTCCATTTTAGGCCTATTAATATTTTATGTTATGAATTATCTGTACATTTTATTTATTTTCTTTCCTTTTAGGTTTTCTATGTTTTTCTTATTGACTTGTTAAAATGAGAATATAAATTTAGATACATGGTAGGATTTCAGTGCAAAATATCTTGACATTTTCAAGTGCACATATAATAAATTCCAGTAATTCTTCTAGTGGTTTTAGTCTAGGCCTATGGTCAGCCATCTTATGGCTAAAGGACCAAATCCTGTCAGCTGTTTGTTTCTGTTCACAGACATTTAGTAGCACCTTGCCCTGCTCGGCCACTTATATACAGTTTATGCCTGCTCTTCCTCTAGACTAGCAGAGTTCAGTAATAGTGACACTAACCATAAGGACCATGTGTCCTAAAATATTTATTAAGTAGTAGCTGACAAAAAGTTTATTGATCTCTGATCTAAAGTATTTCTTATACCTTTGCACAAAAATGTTCATAGCAGTACTGTTTGTGACAGTGACAAACTGGAACTATAGAAGATATTTAAGTAAAATGCAGTGGAAAAGTGAAAATGAATCAAGGTGATAGGTATATTCTCATGAATAAATCTCAATAAAGTAACTCAAAAATGCAATTTTCAGTAAATAGACAGTGTGATACCATCTACATAAATGTTTAAAACATGTCACTAAATACATTTTTTGTACAGTAAATTTGTAAGTTCATGTGTGGCACTGATAAACACCAAATTCAAGGTAATTCTTTCCTCAGGGAGCTGGGGAAAGTAATTGAGGAGAGATAAACAGAGGATATAGGGCTTTGATAATCTCTGTAATAATATTTCCCCTGCATGATATTTGCATACTGTTTTATATGTTTTGAAATGAAATAGCCTCAAATGAAAGCCATGTTCCTTTGCTGTAAGGCAAAAGAGCAAACATGTAATTGCAATAGAAATGATTTTGCAGCAATGGAGACTTTGCCAAAATACAGAGATTTTCTTTTTCTTCCCAAATATCCAAGGACCTGAGCTGTGGTTGTGAGTAGAATTCTCAGCCGAGACAAGTAGAGAACTTGCTGTATTTGAGGAATCAGAAGAAATGTGGATTGTTAAAATTGCCGATGGCATAACATGACTCTGTCTTTGGGGGAAGGAAAAAAAGATGTAGATTGTGTTGGACAGACTGGCAGGACACATATGGGATCCTGTGAACCATGAAGACAAATAATGTTCTTCAAAACTGTTTTCAAGAAGAGATCACCTAAAAATTTGTTTCTAACATTAAGTGTTTCCTACGTGGTAGTCCTGCAGGAAACTGTTGTCATATCAATAGCTTCTTAAACAGATAAAACATTTGCTGTTTTTACAAAACAAGAAAATTTGAATTTGAAGTTTGTGAAAAGTTTTTTCCTAAATACCTGTAGTTGGCTTGGAAAAATACATCCAAATGTGTTTACATTAGGGGCTGGGGATTTAGCTCAGCGGCAAAAGCGCCTGCCTGGCAAGCGCAAGGTCGTGAGTTCGGTTCCCGGTACCAGAGAAAAAACAAAAACAAAACAAATGTGTTTACATTACGTTGGAATTTGAGGGAATAATGTTGAAAAGAATTTTTTGCATAAATTCAGTTTTACAATTTCATTTAGATAAAATTAAACATTAAAAAATAAATAGGTTATACAAAAGAGAATAATTAGGTTGTTTTGGGTTGTGTAAACTTCCCTAAGGAATTAGGAGCGCAGTCCAGAGTCACTGGGAATAATTTACCAGTTATATTTTCATTATTATATTTCCCTTTTATTAATCTGTCTTTTCTACAACATAATTTTGGTTTAATAAAATTATCAATTGCCCAAGTATTTATTTTGAAACATATAAAGACTGTAGGGGCTGGGGATTTAGCTCAGCGGCAAAAGCGCCTGCCTGGCAAGCGCAAGGTCGTGAGTTCGGTTCCCGGTACCGGAGAAAAACCAAAAACCAAAAAAAAAAAAAAGACTGTGGTTTTGAGCTTAGAGTTTCAGAATTTACAATCTCAATTTTATAATTCAGATATTTTAATTATTTACAAAGCAAACAATTACACAAAGACACATTGACAAAAATTTTAACACCCAATGAATTTTCAAAGTTGTATATGAAATTCATGCAGCCTCTTAAGAAAGAAAGAGTTAAAGGAGACCGAAAAGAGGAAAGCAGGAGGTAAGAGAGAAGGGTTTAGCTAAATGAAAGGGTTGAAAGTAATAAGAGAATTGATCACAAGCTGGTTTCTACAGATGTTGTAGAGTAAAATAAATATGGGGAAGTTTATTTCCAAAATATTCACTCTTTAAGTGATCTAATTACTTCTCTTACTACTAATTCCATATGTAAAATTTATAGAAATCATCATAACAGTCTTGCTAACAACATATCTCACTAATTACAGGTTTTAAAAGAAATATATTCTACAGTTTCTCTGGCAACAGAAAATGATGGCTCATATAGATCTGTCAGTTGCTCCAAAGTTGTTCTCTTTTCTTCCTTTTGTAACAATTTGTTTGCTTATTTATTTATCTGTTTACCTATCTATCTATCTATCTATCTATCTATCTATCTATTTATTTATGCTCCTGGAGATATTACCTGTTGACATTTTTTCCTTGGGGTAAACTAAAACAACCCACCTAGATCCTGCCCAGAGCATATACCCCTTCGAAGTAATTTTAAAATATAGGTTGTAGTAAAGCTGCTTGGCATAGACTTTTTCACCTGAAAAAGTCCAGATACAGTAACTTATATTTTTCTTTTCATAAAAATATATAGCTGATTGTGGAAATATGCATACTTTATCCCAGTGGTGCCATTTATTAATAACCTGAAAAAATAATTCCGATGTAAAATTTACTTCTCTCAATATAACTCTCTCTAGAATATTATTTTTGTTGAAATTGTATGGAGTTGTAGTGTATAAAAGCTGTTTATTATTTTCAAAACAATGCTATTTTATATTTCAGGAATATACAATAGATGTTTTTTTCCGACAAAAATGGAAAGATGAGCGTTTAAAATTTAAAGGTCCTATGAATATCCTTCGACTTAATAATTTAATGGCTAGCAAAATCTGGACGCCAGATACCTTCTTTCACAATGGAAAAAAGTCCGTAGCTCATAATATGACAATGCCAAATAAACTACTTCGAATCCAGGATGATGGAACGCTGTTATACACAATGAGGTATGTTCTTATGTTTGACGTGTGTGATACTGAAAAATCAATGTATTAATTAAGCAGCCAACCTAGTTGCATGAGAAGATATACATTTTCCTATCAGGTTATAAAAGGGATCATAGTATGCTTTGTAAATCATTAGCTATGTAAAAAATAAAAGTATTTATGAACTTAGTTTTTATCTTAGAATTTTTAAAGCTTAAGATTTGCCTTAATTATGAACACTTGGTACTTGTGTTTATTGATTCATTACACATTATAATTGAGTACTATTTTATCATGACGGGAATGTTGTTTACAGTCGCGTATAATTTTATCTTTAATATTGGCTCAGACAACCAGTGCAAGGTCTTACTTAATATCTTGATTTCCCCCTTATGCAACTAGTCCACAGGGAAAACTGAATTTTTCTTAAGGCTTATAAATAAATTGGATACCATAAACATATGCATTAGATCAAGCCATACGAAATTGTCATTTTGCTACTGAAACTTGCCTTGTACATGGATTTCATATTATTCAAACTTTAATGGAATTATTGAGAGAACTAAACCACTGTTGATGTAACAAGTATTCCGTTTTAACTGTTATAATGAATTAATATTTTAAAATAAATTCCTTGTATTCATAATGAAAAAATATACAAATCTAGTCAATGTTGGAGAATAGAAAGTTAATGTTTAATAAAGTATTTAAAGCAAGAAGACTGTCACTAGCATTATACGAAAATAGAAACTGAATTGCATGCATCTGATACATTATTATTTCATACTAAATTTAAGTACTGGGTTGCCATTATGAAAGGGATTTATGAATAGCAACAATACAATTCTATACTAATTCTAGTCTTTAAAGAAAAAATACACTCTTAATGGTTCATGATTATATGGCTATTGCCTAAAATGGATATTACAGAAGTGTGGCCTGCTCTTTTTGCCTCTCTCTGAGTCTTGCAATACATTCAGATGCAATACCCTTGAGGACTTTACAGTGTGATCATTTATTCCTGTAGATTAAGACAATGATTAGAAATCTAGGATTTAAGCAAATTGTAAGTGAAAAATATACAAAATTTTAGAAAATATTGCATAGGTTTCTATTTAAATTCTCTCTTAGAAGTATAGAAGCCATGATCAATCTTTGGCCACATTTGCTGTGCTCAGTAAGAACAGATTTTTCTATGTATTCCATTTAGTATCTGCTTTATTCAGATTGGCTTTGTGTAAAATGGAACAATTGAAATAGAGGAAAATTGGTATTTTTCTATGATTGATATTTTTATCATCCTTGTTTTATTTAGACACAAAAGAAATGTATTTAATATTAAGAAGTTGTGTCCAAAATATAGCCACCAATTTATTCTCAGTAAGATATTTTTATTATCTCACATCTGTATGTGTACTTACATCTATTTCTGTGCTTAATTTGTGTGTTTATATACAGTGTGTGATTCTCATTCATAGTTGACATATTGTTGAAGGGAATTCTTCTGAGCCAGTTCTGAACTTTTATCAATTTTACTATGTGGTTCTCAACAAGATGACAGGGAACATGGCAATGTCTTTATAACAGAGTTTTAATTTTTTTAAAGTTTTCAACATTTATACTGAGGTTAATGTGAAATAGACCTTCAAAAATGCATATATGATTTCTTTACTCTTAAACAACAAAGTATAAAATAGCTAAGTAAAATTTATCTTTAATACTTTGTTATTTATGTTCAGATTTGGTATAACCCAGTGTGTTCTTGAGAAACTTCCTAAATGTGGGTGAACAGAAATACAGTTAAATGTCAACTTCCCAGTATGATGCTGTAACAAAAGTTCTGCCTCATCATCAGTTTCATTGACAACAGGAACAAGTGACTTTTCCTGAATTGCCAATTTACTTAAACAAAGAGTGGCATTTTGACTTTTAGGCTGACAGTTCAAGCTGAATGTCCAATGCACTTGGAGGATTTTCCAATGGATGCTCATTCATGTCCTTTGAAATTTGGCAGCTGTAAGTACAAGGGTGAATGTGTATGTTTTGGGTCAATATCAGGAAAAGGCAGCAGCACTGCTCTAGTGTGTAGCTGTTTCTTACATTATGGAGTGCCTAATACTGTACTTGCCCAGTAAGGTACAGAAATGAAAGACATGCTGATTACACCCAGAGAACTAATTTGCTACCACTAGATTACTCCCAAGTGTTTTCATTGTGTTATTTAAGTTATTGCTTCTTTTACTGCTAGGAAAAAATACCTGATTTTTAGTACCTGTGTAAATGTAGACCGGGAGCTCCCATAAAGTCAGGACTGTAATTCGCAGTTGATGTAACAAGTATTCCATTCTAACTGTTATAATGAATCTTTTCCAAAAAAATAGAACATGTAAAATACATTTCTTTTTCATCAAGTAAGAATGAATTATTAAAAGAAATAGATTCTATTGTTTGTTCTTACCCTGCTAGATAAAGCAGTCACAGAAGCTGAATCTGTGCAGTTGTCTTCTATACTATTTACCTACTAAAAGGGATTTTCCCCTTAAATTTCAAGGATACGATGTCATTGGACTGCTGCATGCAGGCACCTTCTGTGTATACAGAGCATTTCACACAAGCTCTGTGCCTTTGGCTATTCTTGAGGTTACAGGGTTATGTCCTGTATGTCAAGCAGAAGCATGCACATTCTGATGTAGTGGGAAAGGAGGAAGGTCAAATCATTTCCCTAGGCAGGCTGACAGTTAAATTCATGAATCTAGCTAAGCAGCCTAGCTCTTGTGTGAGCATGTCCCTTCACCTGATCTTTTCAGAAACTGTGCCCTGCTGGCATCTCTATTCTTGTAAATTCTAGCTAGCTGGGGACTAATTTTTCTCTGTTGAAAAAAAAAAATGCAGTGCTCTCACCTGATTAAAATATGTATTACTGAAAAGTGTGTCTTTTCATAGACTGTCCAGTGAAAAGAAAAGAATGGTGACTAATATGAATACCAAACACTCTAACTATTTTGATGATCATAGTTTTGTGCAGTGAGTTCAATCTTGTTTGCCTTGGGCATTCTTACAAAAGGTGTCAGTTCTCAATTTTCTTTAAGAATCTCCTCTTTGTTTAACCACAAGGCCTTTTTTTACTATCATGGAAACCACCACTTCAACTTTGGCATTTCTCCCCACGTTACGTAAGTTAGTCAGTCGTGGCATACAATATAAACATGATGCCGGAAAACCAAAGCAGATGCAGCAGAGAAAAGCTCATTCGCATTGCACAGGTGTCGTTAAAAAAAAGCTTGAAAAGCCTTAATATCACAAAAAGACCTTATCCAAGATATGGCATTGATATAGGAAGAAATGGCATTTTGCCTTGGATAGGTGTTGTTATTATGCCTAATGTCAAACATAAATGATGTATCAATATTGAACATGAAATTTTTTAAAAAAATTTGAACATCTTGTGCATCTCAGCTACAAAATAGTCCTTTTCTCAGTGTAGAATTCCTGTAGTCAACCTATAAAGGTTCAGTTAAGCATTCTCTGGTACACAGTTATAATTTATATTACATTCTTCATACACGTATTCTCATATATTAAATAAACAGTTTGAATGTTCTCTGACTTGTCCTTACCAGTAGTAGGTGCTGGATGCCTACTGTTGAAAGTGTGGACTACTAGTGTGCAGTGATAGACACGTGAACAAGCTCAAACCTTCACATGCTTTGCAACAACGCTTGGAAGAAGCAGCCTCGGCTGTTTTTGTCATAGTCATTTATTCCTCTTTTACATAGAAGTCCTTCCTAGCCTAAAAAATGGTTACATTTCTATTGCTTTGTCATTGTCCTCAAATAGGAGAAGCCTCTTTATGGTTTAGAATTTTAAATTCAGTCATGATTTGTTGATTTTTTCTTTTTTGTCTCACGTTTTCATATTTTTTCTTATTTCACATAACTTTAAACTTCTTGAATGGAAGTAGAAGATCACAGGATTCTCTGAATGAGCTCCAAAACATTGTCAATTTCCTCTTAAGAGGGATGTTGATAGTAAAAAGTGACTTGAGATATTAAGTCAGTCAATATGCATGTGTACAATGCAGCATATTACTCAAACATAGATTATTTAACAAAGGTAAATAAATCTCTCTAATAATGGCCTAATTTGGGAGTAGAACTTGCACTAAATTTTGTAAAACAAACTGTTATGCTCCTCCTTTACTCTTATTGAGAATAAATCTGATGGCCTTCTGGTTTATTTGTGTATTTGCACACCTCGAGTGTGTGTGCGTGTGTGTGTGCGTGCACACATGCACAGACACACATGCAGAGATCCTCCAGTCTGTACCTCATCACTGTGTGTTATGCATTTGATCAGATACAAAATCTAAAGAAATTAAACACAGTGTATTCTTAACTGATTCAATATGGTAACTGCTTTTTTAAAAGACTTAAGAAGGATCATTTTTTGCAATATATTCTTGGGCTATTCTCCACGTTTCCAGCTTCTGTATCTGTAGTTTATACTGAAATGTTGAGTTTATAGTAAGTTGATTCTATGAGATAAACAAACTTTGACATTGCATTCTGTTGGCAGTTATTTGTACAATTTTTCTTCTCTGATTTTGACAGATGCATATACAACCTCAGAAGTCACTTATATTTGGACTTACAATGCATCTGATTCGGTACAGGTGGCTCCTGATGGCTCCAGGCTAAATCAGTATGATCTCCTGGGCCAATCAATTGGGAAGGAGACAATTAAATCCAGTACAGGTCAGTAAAATGAGTCTGAAGAAAAACTATGAAGTCACTGAAAATATGTTATACTATTTAAAAAGCTTTGTTTTCAGGTCTACAAACTAGTGGGATAGACTGCACGGGAGCTTTCCTGGTGTTCACAATCTTGCTTTATACTCCTCACTGAATCTGTGTTTTATCAAGATTCAAGAGGATTCATATGTGTATTAAAGTTTGAGTCACACTGACCTAAATATACTACGTATTTAAAAGTATGTCTTCTCTGGCCCTGCGTGGTGGCACACACCTGTAATCCCAGCACTTGGGAGGCTGTGGCAGGAGGATCCTTGTGAGTTTGAGACCAGCCTAGGCTACAAAGTGAGCTCAAGCCCAGACTGAACCGCATAGCGAGACCCTGTCTCAAAAAAAAAAAAAAAAGCATGTCTTCTCAAATGAGTTGTTATTAACATTTACCTTCAAACAACTGGTGACACTTCGCCTAGTTTTCTAATTGTTTCCCCCACCTTCCACAAAATTCATGATTACTCAACTTTTGATTTATGGATAATTACTACAGGCCTGTGTGGAAAACCTTATTCCCTGTCTAAGGGCCACTGCCATCTAAGAAACAAACAGCTGTGTGAACTAATTATCTTACATCTGGCTATCATTAAAACCCTGAGAGGAAAAAAAAAAAAGATAGGAGGATTCGAAAGAAGTACTGAAACAAATTAGAGCAGACATACAGCAGAGAAAAATGCAGAATTAGTGACAAGGTTAAATGTGGAAAATCTGGGCCAGAAATTCTGCCCTGGAAATGAGGCCAGAGATCAAAACTTTAAAGAGCAAAGAAGGATCGAGTTGATCAGTCTTAGCAGAAATTTATAGTTAGTGTCAGTGTGGATGAATGACCTAAGCAAGTAAGATAATCTACTAGGAGAAAGGCTTTATGAGTGTGAATCCTGTTGGTTAGGATCCACGACTGAAAAAGAAAAACAAATACCTTATTCTGGGACATACAGAGCAAATGTCTTCACTTTATGAACATTCTCCTCTAAATGCTCTTGCTATGCTAATGAGGTGTTTCAAATCGGTGTAGTTTTGATGATAAGTATGTGATATTTTTAAATCAAAGACTTTTTTTTAAATCTCTTCCATTTCCATAACGTTCCAACTATTGACTATTACAATTCCTTAAGCTTTTGAAATTTTTCTTCCAGGTGAATACACCGTAATGACAGCTCATTTCCACTTGAAAAGAAAAATCGGGTATTTTGTGATTCAGACATACCTGCCTTGTATCATGACTGTCATTCTCTCCCAAGTGTCGTTCTGGCTTAATAGAGAGTCTGTGCCTGCGAGAACTGTATTCGGTGAGTGAATTCGCTCCACACGTTGTAGTACAGAACATCATGTTTCAAAGCGCACTTTCAAAGGTGTCGTCTCTCTTGATTCTCACATCAATACTTTGTAATGTGCGGGGCAGGGAATATTGGTTTTACTTTATTGATAAGGAAACTGAAGCTCAGAGAGGCACAACACAGAGTCACTGCCACATTGTTAATAAAAGAATATAAGCGTTACTTAAAGAGCCTGGCAATAAATTCATTCCTTTTATTCCTGTTAAATCATTCTGCTTATTGACATTTGTCTCCATATTAGCAGAAGGAGAATTTCTTTAATAGAAAGTCTCACTGTACCATATTTCTAGACTTCCTTTGCTTAGCTCTCTTTTAGTTTTCAGTTAAAAGGAGGACATTAGTGCTTTAAGTTTGAGACAGAAGAAAACTCAGAATGAGAACTCATTCTCTTCCGCTGATGTGTCTGATTTGCTTGATTAAACCAAGTAAGGGCAGTTTTTAAAGTTAGAATATGGAATATCATTTTTACAGTGTTTTGGGTTTTGCTTTGACATGAACAAATATGATATTTGTAATTTAAGTAAGAGGAAGGGTAAATTCATTAGTGTATTTAATAACAAGGTTTTTGCTTGATTAAAACCATGCAAAGGAATTTGGTTACTTTTGGGGGGATATAGGAATTAGACTGTGGACATTTTGGAAGAAAGTAGGTCATTTTTGTGTGTTTGGTCCACCAATTCATTTAGAAAGTTTTACTAAGAACTTAGTTTCTCAGGTACTGTTCCAGGACCTGGGGATGCAGATATAAATGAATGATAGTTCCTATATCCAAATAGACTAGTATTATGGATAGTAGCAGAATAAGAAGAATGACAATAAAAGTAAAACTAGAATAGAAGAGGCATATGCATGTTATAGAAAATTACAATATACATCATCTCTACAAGAACTCTTTGAGAAAGTAGCTGGATTAATTATTGAACTGAGCCTTGCAGGATGACTAGGAGTTTCTCAAACAGGTAAGTGGACAAGAATCCTAATCAAAACCAGATTGTACAGTGACATGACTGGATGAACAAACGTGCTGTGTTCTGTGATGCTGTTTCAGGATCAGTGGAGATACACATAGAAATATTTTGAGACAAAGATGAGAAAGTGTGTTCATGGAATGTACCTTTATCTTTTAGAATACGTAAGTCACTAGAGTATTTTGAGGCTATAATATCAGTAAAACTCGCAGAACAATGTCACTGAATAAGGGCTACAAAATTGTTATCTATTCTTTTTTTAAATAACTTTGTGGATGTATGGTAGATATGTGAAAAGCTATACATGTTTAATAAATACAACTCAATTAATTTGGGGATTAGTATACACTAATGAAACCAAGACGCCCATCCATGCAGTACCCTTATCCATCATCTCCCAAAGTTTCCTCTCACCTCCTTTATTAACGGTGTGTATCATTGGCGGGTAAGGGCATTTGATGTGAAGTTCTATTCTCCTAACAGAATTTAAGTATAGCACATATTATTGTTGTTAGGCATTATGCTATATAGTAGATCTCCAGAAGTTACCTAGCCTAATTAAAAGTATTCCTATTACTATAAATATGATCTTATTGGCTTATTTGTGGAAGCTGAGTTAAAAGACAGAAATGACCAAAGACAGGCAGCAATGTTGAGGGTTACTGAAATAATCTAGACAAGATATAATTATGCTATTGCTAAGGATGACAAAGACAACAAAGGAAAACGGGTAGGATGACAAGCTGCTTGGAAGAGAGGAATGGTGGATTTGTTGGTCATATGGAGCAACTACAGGAAAAAGGAATAATTTAAAATGAAGTTTAGGGGAGTTTTTGGATGCTTGATGTGAATAATATTGCCATTAATAAAAACTAAAGGGAAAGATGAGAAAGGTAGTCATTTGTGAGTGATGTGGATTTTGAAATTCCTTATAGTATCAGTTTGATCTTCAGTTGACCAATGGACCTAAGTATATGTAAAGCAGACGAATAGCAGTGGCTGTCAATAAATATAGCAATCAGTAGCTACCAGATATGAGAAGTTAAAGATCTAGTTAGGGTTAGATATCTCTTACAGATAAATGAGGTTGGTAAATGTAAGATCAGAAGACAGAATCCTTAAAAATATTAAATTGACAGGATTTGGAAGATATGAGAGGACAAAATTACAGTATAACATGCAGAGCAAATTTAGATACATGTATAAAAGGAAATATACGGGTATGGATCTAGACATAGACGTAGACTGACAAAGACATAGACATAGGTACCAGCGGGAACAAGAGGGAGACAGCGAAATCCAAATGTACTGAATGAATTTGACTAGATGAAAGTTACTAATGCAAATTAATTAAATGAGAAAGGTTGCTTTGGAGTAGCACACACTCAAGTAGGTAGAAACTGTGAGATATGGAAGATGTTGCACACATACAACCTTTTGAAGAAAAAGAAAGATAAAGGTAACTGCATATACATGTGACTCATCATTATTTTAAAATTATTATTGTATTACTATTAACATGGACATTTACATAACATGGAAGACAAATTTATGGCAAGCCACAAGCTAAATGTTTCACTTATTTCTTTACTTATTATTTTGTTTATGAAATTCATTATACCATGACACCTACCTTTTAAGAAGAAGACTGAGACTTTAAAATTTTAAGTGTTTTATTCAATGACACTATGCTGCACATCTCTCTGTCTCTCTGTCTCTCTGTTGCTGTATCTGTCTCTGTCTCTCTCTCTTTTTCTGTCTATCTCTGTCTCTCTCTGTCCCTCCTTTGTTTCTTAGTGCTTGGCTCTGAATTACTAAGCCTGCATTCTACCACTGAGCTACACTCCAGCCCTAACATGACAACATTTTACAGATTAGATTTGATGAGAGAGTTCTAGAAAGAACTAAGTGAACACAGTTGGGAAAAGGAGGGGAGAAGAAGAGGGAATAGAGAAGGAAGCAAGGGCGTCAAACTTTCCTTTACAGTACATCATCTACATATAATAACAAAAATATTTCAAGGTTGAAATTTAAATCAAGGAATAGCTATATAAAATCAAATATAATTTAGGATGATTAACATTCTTTTATTGTTACAATATCAGTCATGTTTTCTTTGTACTAATGTTCATGCTTATGATCAAGTCATTATGTTTCATTATAGAACAACTGACATGGTCTACATGATATTCTATGAACTATGTCCCTTTTTACTTTTTATTGTAAAGGGAAAAGAAAGAGAAAAACAGTAATACAGTATTTCAAAACAAGATAATAGGATATTAACAATGGTTAATATGTTTCATATTGCTATTTCAATATGTCTTATTCAATATTTTGTGCTCATTTGAATAAGAAATTGATATTGTGATTAACCATGATTGAATTATGTAAAAGTATATGATATTCATCATGTACAGTCTTTTACAAAGCTATGTATTTAAGAAATAATACATTGGCTGACACTTGAAATCTCAGCCCTTTGGGGTGCTGAGACAGGAGGATTACAAGTTTGATCACAACCCGAACTATATATCAACTTAGTGAAATCTTCTCTCAAAATAAAAAAAAATAATAATAATTGAAAAGGCCTGGGGATGTAGCTCAGTGCAAAGATCCTGGGTTCATTCTGATACCAAATAAAAGAAAGAATATACTGAAAGTATATTTAACAATTATGATTAGTTCTTTTATTAGAATTTCATTGGACATTTCAACAGAATAATAGTCTTTAACGTAAGTTCCTGCGCAGTTTTCAGTATGAATCAAGTATGATACATTAATTCACCAAATTATGTACTTAAGAGCTGAAAGTTTGCTTTCTATTTTTCTCTTATGGTGCCTTATAGATGTTCATCTTGTGGCACACATATTACCACAGATCTTGGAGAATTGTAAGTGCTAGAAAAATGTGTGTTGAATGAGTTAAAAAATAACTAGATAGAGGAGTAATTTTGCCTATAGAAAGGGGCAGTTCCTCAGTATTAAACTCACTAAACAAAAACCTTTGAAAAGTAAGAACATGTTCAATTCTAAGGGCCAATAGTTGTGTTTCCACTGTCATGAGGACAAGAAAACAAGACAATGCTACATAAACTTATGTGTGTTTACAATTGTAAAGATTATATCTGTGAGAGGAAGACGTGCTGAAAGTATGAAGAGATTATGTAGGAAATGTGAGCAAAGGACACTGACAAAGATATGGACACAACTATAGAATACTAACATAGTGGTAGTAAAAATGACCACCAATAAAGCATACAGAGAAGTGATATTGAAGGAAAAATATCATAACCCAAGAAAAGCAGTTACATTTTCTTCTCAAGTGTACATTAAATATTTTCCAGGAGGAACCATATTCTAAGTTATAAAATAACTCAATAAATTTGAGGAGATTGGAGTCGTACAAATTCTCTCAACACAGTGCAATGAAGCTAGCAAGAAAAGAATGAAACTGGAATCTATACCAGTATGCGGAAATCAAACATCCCTCTCAGTCAACAGATTAGGTAAACACTAAATCCTTTAGGACACCAGGAAAAACTTTGCAGCAAATGAAAATAAAAGTAGAGCACACCAAATCTTATGGAATTCAATGAGAGCAGTGCTCAGTGGATAATTGATAGCAATAAATACCTACATTAAAAGAGAAGGAAGATCTTCAATCAATAACTTATCTTTATAGATTCATGGAATAGAAGAGTAAGAACAAACTACTGTAAATACAGATTCAGTAAGGAGAAGAAAATAATTAAGTTTAGAATATAAATAAATGAAATAGAAAATAGAAAAACAAGAATGAGAATAAATAAATCCAAAAGCTGGCTCTTTGAAACTGCAAAGAATTCCAGTAATCTTAAACTAGACTAAGACAAAGAGAAATGATACAAAAATTAAAATCAGAAATAAAAGTGGAGATTTTGCTATCAACCTTACAGAATTTAAAAGGGTTGTAAGAAAATAATATAACAATTGTATGCCAAC